GAGAGAGAGAGAGAGAGAGAGAGAGAGAGAGAGAGAGAGAGAGGAAGGAAAGGAAGTGCCTGTGACGACGTAAAGGTCCTCGTGAGTCATTTGTTACTGTCAAATCGCCGTCCGTGTTGTCCAGAAATGATACGGAACTTGTACTGTACCTGCGCACTCGTCCCGGCTGTGGTATCAAATCTACTTTTAACAAGCGTACCCGCGGTGTTTCTCTGAGATCGTTATTGTGATCGTTAGAGGGTTACGTGGTCCGGTGTGAGGAGTTCGACTAGTAATGCCTTCGAAGATAAAGGTCTGTTTGACAACAACAATGAAGCATAGTATGGACAATGACGAAGTATGATGATAAGAGCGAACGATAAATCAGAGAGAGACAGCGATCGCGCGAGATAAGTCGCGCCTGAATGAAAGTCGGGTCACGAGAGAAAGAGAGAGAGAGAGAGCGCAAACAATGATAATTACAGCGCGTACATTGAAGCGCGCGCATCTCTCTTTAAACACACCTATACTTACTTCTCGTTTAACTGTTTCGAATCGATCATCGGCGCGCGGCCGCGCGCCGAGATACACGACCGCCCGCTACGATTGTACGCCTACATGCGTAGATATATATTTACACTTGCATACGTTTATACGTTTAACAAATACATATATTTTCATTTTTCAACAATAACACGATCGCGCGCCTTTCCGTTCGCGTTCTGCGACGAGACGGACAATCGAGACAGTAACGGAATCCTCCGATTGAGATTACATCTACGTATGGCGGCGCACGCGCGCGCGCGATTCGAGATGGACGCGGGTTACACCGTGGAGAAAGTCGGAAGAGGAAGGAGCCTCGGCGCGCGTCCATCTCTGACTCGCGCGTCGACGTGAAGACGCTGAAGGAAACGCCAACGCGGTCCGAAAAACGTGAGGTGACCTCGAGCTGCCGAGGTATCGCCGCGTCCCGACGACGATGGTGAGCGCGTCGCGTTTTCGGCCAAGAGACTCGCCCAGTCGTCTTCTTCTTTTTTTAAAAAAATAAAAAGGAATTGTCGTTATGTACACGTGTGTGTATATAATATCTGCATCTTATTAATTACATTTGAAAACTATCGTTCTTTTTTTTTTTCAATTAATACTTTCTTTTGTAGTTTCGAGGGACATTTTCCCCATATAATAAATTTATTTTTTTCCCTCCGCTCATGAGGACGATGGACGAGTCGCCAAGCCGCGAATACGCCGCGAGATCTTTTCAGTGCGGAAACGGCGAAGCGATCTATGAACAAATTGGAATTTAGAATATGTGCGTTTTGTACAGCCAAACCAGGTTAGCGGCGCGGGCTTCGTGCCTCAGCACCACGCGGATGTAGAGTCCACCTGCTCCTTCGACTGGCTGGACCCCCGGTTGTTGTTGCTGCCGCAATGGCTGTTGCTGTCGCGGTTCTATCAGTCGCGGTTCCTTCTTCGGTCGTTTCTCATCTTCCTGCCGCGCTGGCGTCTCCGTTTGCTGCTGTTGTTGCTCCGCGGGCGGTTCTTGACGCACCTCCTCCACGGGTCGCGTCTCTTGGGTTCTTTGCTCTTCCTCTTCACGTGGTTGCACTTGTTCACCTCCTTCCGGCAGCCGCGGTATTTGTTTGTCCTTACGCTGCAGTTGCGGCTGTTGCTCGTTCTGCTTCTGACGCTCGGCTTGCTTCTCGATTTCCTTCTTTCGTTTTTCTAATTTCTTCCGCAGCTCAACTTCGTCCTGCTCTAGTTTCCGCTGTAGTTGCTGTTCTTCCTGCTCCAGCTTTCGCTGAAGCGCTCCTTCCTCTCGTTCAAACTTGCGCCGGAGCTGTTGTTCCTCATGCTCCAGCTTACGCTGCAATTGCTGTTGTTCTTGTTGCAGCTTTCGTTGTAATTGCAATTCTCTATCCTTCTCTATTTTTTGGCGCACCTGCTGCTGCAGGTGGCCCGGCTCTTTTCGTTGCGGCTGCGCTTCTTTTCGTTTCTGTTCCTCTGTTTGTGTCTGCTGTATCTGCTGTTGCTGTACTTGCTGCTGCTGCTGCTGCTGCTGCTGCTGCTGTTGCTGTTCCACTTGCGTCTCCTGCTGAAGATCCTTTCGACGCTGCGGCTGAGGCGATTCCTGCGGGCGCTGTGACTGACACGGTTCCTGCTCTATTTGAGTTTCCTGCTCTTGCTGTTGCTTCTGTAGCTGCTCAAGCTGCTGCAGTTGCACCAGCGCTCGCTCCTTCTGTTCCTTCTCCTGCACGACAACATCCTCCACCGTCACCGTCACTACCGCTGCTCCCTCGTAGGTGCCGCAAATATCCTCGCGTCGAGGCTCATCCGAAACGGCCGCAATCTGTGCGGCCGTGGCCTGAGGTTAGTTGCTACCAGAATGCTGTTTCTGATCAGATCCGCCATCGGAGCCGCTCGAGCTCAGAGTCGTATTGCTGCCGTACGGATCCAGCGATGACTGGACCGACATGCTGCGGCCCTGCCTCCTCACTCTGTGGGGGGAGAGTTTCCTGGGGTCGACACTGGTTGGGTCTGCCTGCAACAAATTCCCTCATAAAAAAACTACCCGCGTCCTCGTGACTCGCGAGCTCGCGTCGTGAGATTCTTTTATTTTTCATTTATTTATTAGTCTTGTTTTCAGGACGGAGCGTGGATATGGAAAACGCAACGCGCACCTGATAAGCCAATGCGTTCATAATGATCTCTGGCGGCACAAGACCCAATGGGTTTACCTCCTGCATCAACACGGTGGCTGGAATCTTGTGAAATTGGATATACTCGATAAAGTTGCCGATCACGTCCTTCAATGGTGTATTCTGATTGTTGTCGCAGTACTTTTTACTCCACATCAGCGCGGCCTGAAAGTCAGAAGTTATGTTAAATGAATTAGATGAATTAGAATTGAACAAGAGGACTAAAGAGTTAAAATATAAATCACGAATGCGTTTGTGACGAAATTACTTGAAATTTTGTGAATTCATCCGCGCGTAGTTCCTCTCTGGCGAGGATCAGGCGGACAACGTGTTGCGGCAACAGCGTGAAGGATCCTAAGTTCAACACCTCGTTACCGTGTTCGTCGACAAACTCCAGTACCTAAAAAAGAATTGCATGAGATGATATGCAATCGATTGCAATACCAAAAATTGTATGTTTCATGCCGAATATCTTAATAAAATTTTGTTCCGCAGAACGTGAAATCATACATTCTTTCAACTGACTTCATGAACGTGATCAAGAATATAACATAAAAATATAAACGTTTCACTTATTAAATTAGATATTTAAAGATAACGAGATATCTATCATTGAGTCTAATTAAAGAAATAATATATTCCGGAAGTGTGTTATCCGCGAGAAATTATCAGGTCCACCAAGAATCCGCGAATTTCATCACAAACGACAAAGAGTGTTATCTACCACCGTTAACGCGAAGACTTACGCAATCGTCTGCGAGTGAAGGAAAGCGCTTCTTGCGGAAATCAAAAGATGAGAACAGAACTATTCTCAGATTTAGACTCCCGATATGCAGTCGAACGCGCTCATACCTTTTGCACCAACGACTTTGTACACTTATATTGAATATAACGCTCCGCCGAGGCCAACAGAGCACAGACGGTGTCGACGGTTATGCAGCACTGAACGAAGCCGGCGCAGGCTCGCCTGAGCTCGTCCAATCCGTAATAATCAGCGGCGTTCATTACACCTGCAAGCACAAATTGCATTAACGAGTAATCAATCCATAAAACGTCAGTTGGACGCGGGAAAACATTCGACGTGTATCTTTCGCAGAATTATTTCTCGCGAGCTTCTATTCGCTACCCGATAATAGAAGAACCGCCGCTGATTTTCATCCGCGCAGCATATAACAAACGTTCCAATAAATTTGTCGAGCTCATGAATACTTAACAAACGTACCGAGCAGAGTCCTGGGTTGCAGTGTCACACATCCCGTGTGGATGTACTCGATCAGTTGGCGGAAGACATCGGGCTCGAACTCCTCGATAATCAACGTGTGATGCTGATTCGACTGCGGCTACGGCACAAAAGCGAAATGCGAATATCGCCGCGAAGGGACGCGGATATTCGGAATGTTGAAGCTTGAATCGGATAACCGTGCTAAGCGACTCTTACGGGAGTTCTTGGGGATTGGAACACTCTGATAGATTAAATTTATTCATTAGAAGGAAGACAGGAGGACGATTGTCTGTTTCTCTGTTAGCAGATTTCTGTAAAATACGTACACTTTTACATTTTACTGAGAAACGATATAGGGATTAATTGTTCGACCAAATTGAATTTCCTCAATTTCGCACTGTTGATAATCTTTCGTGCGCCTTTGTAATTCGCGCAGTTATTAAAGATAAATTTCTTTTCGTAAATATAACAAGTATCAGGTGGTAGGGAATTACTTATTGCATAGAAAGGAGTTGTATGTCATTACATACAACTACTACGTATTTCACTTTCATTAAACGATTAATTAATCTTATCTAATATTTCTACGATCTCGTGCAGATTTCCGTGCGTGTGCTAATACGCCACGTGTGAAATACGTATGAGCCTCAATTATTTTCATCGATCAAGGGTTTTATTAGAAGATTGTGAATTTCTCGCTATTTTAATTATAACGCAATAGTATTTTTGTTTAGGTGCAGAATTTCGTCGTTAAACTACTGTGCATTTTAACATCATTAAGAAGATAAGTAAAAAACTATCTCATCTAACTCTAACAACCAAACGAACATATTTACGCGTTAGATTCGTTAATTCTCAGACAAATTTATATTTCCCGTTTGCATAGTTTAAAATCGCGCTCTATAATTTATTTTGTATTCCTCTGGTCAAAATTAGAACTTATGTTCGCTTGACTGATTGAGCAAAGTGAATAATCGTGACGAGCTATTTAATATAATGAGAACCTTAACGTGCCAATCTACAACTATTGTGGACATAGTGACTACGAGAATATACAGTCCAAAATCGGTCATGCAGAAATCCAGATGCGGAGCTAACGTTTCACGCAATCGTAACCGTACGAATTCTACTGGACGGACGTTCGAGCACAAGTCTCGAGAATAGTTATCTTCGGCAACAGAAGCAATTGCGCGCAAAGAACAATCGAGATGAAGGGAAGTGCTTGGTCAAGTTAGAGAGTCAAGGCAAACATCTACTTGTCATACACCGATCTCAGATGGTCACCTACGCGAGCGCTACTAAGAAGGAAGTATCTAAGGAAGTAAGAAAGTAAGGAATGAAAACGGCACCTAAGGAGGCATCTAATGCAAATGCCTCGCGGAGGCAGAGCCAAAAATGCAGAGAGCGGAAAAACGCAGCGGAGAAAAAAGAAGAGGAGAGGAGAGGACACGCAGAAAGTTTCGATTAAAACAGTGCGAATTGGAAAGATCGAGAAGGACAAAGGAAGACGAGAGATGGACACGATCTCGATTTGCGTGTAAAATTGTACGAAAAAGTGACGTTCAAAGTACCTCTTGGATGGGAGCCAGTTGCTGCGTGAACCCTGACCGCTATATGACACAAATGTACACTTACTATTTCCAGTCTGGTAAATACGGGATATTCGTTTCGGCGACGGTCACGATTGATATGCAAGGCGTCCTGGAGGAAGCCGAGGACTCGTCATTTTGTTGAGACAAGTTCGACATTCCTAATTTTAATGACTAATTAATATGGTCGAAGGGACTGATTTTTTCTTCGATTCGTTTCGCGCAAACGAAAATAATTCTCAGGGACGCCTTGTACATATCAAACGCGTTCGCCTCTTTCGAAATTGCCCTATCTATTTTATACATGTACAATATGTACAATATGATTTTCCCCCGAGAAATAGGAGAAAGAAAGAATCGAATATCGACTCGTCGGTCGTGCGTCGCCTATCTCATACGCGCATACTGGCTTCCCGCAAAATGAACTGATCCAGTAGAATAAGTCGCGCGGTAGCAAATATTTTGGCACAGTCGGGAAGAAATTCCTCGCGCGCAATACAGGAATCGGTGACACGTCATCGTGATTATCATCGTGTCGCGTCGCGACTGTATTTATACTTTTCTTGACTGATCGACTGATGACCGAGCGTACCTGTTGCGCTGCGTTTTGCAGATTCAACAACGGCTCGGAGCTGCGTTTGAGGAAGAGCCGGATCTTGTTCTCGCGCGCCGGCGGCTCTTTCTTACGTTGCGGGCTCGGCGCTTGGTACAGCATCTTGTGGAAGACCCTGCAAGAGTCGCGGCAGGAAGTGAAAAAGTTCAAATTCGCCGTCAACGGCGTGATAGACGCTGTGCAATACGGAGTTCATCGCTCTTTCTGCGTGCTTCTGCCACAAACCTGCTTCTGGCCGCGAGCACGGCCTTCACGGCGCAGACGGGCTCCCGGGTGTCGCCGACGAGGAAGGTCACGTCGCAAAGTTCCGGCATGCTCGCAAGAAACTTCATGTCCTCCGCCAGGCCAGTCTTATTCTCGAAGGTCGAGTAGTCCGACTCGTCCACCACCCCCGATCCTGAAGCCTCCGGCATCGGGCCCATGCTCTCCTGCGATTTATTTCGTAGGAGTATCGAGATTCATTCGTTAGAGTTTCGCTTGATTCTCTAATTAAATCCTCAAACAATTCGTTCAATTTCGTGATTGGAAAACTCAAAGCAAGAGCGACGTTCAGACAACATAAACTTCTAAGAGATATCTTAAGGATATCCAAAAGACGTGACAAAATTCTATTTTCTTTAGACGTCTCTTACATATTTTTCAGACGATTTTTCAGGTATTTTTTTAGAAACTCATGCTATCTGGGCGTTTCTTTCGCCGCGGTAAGTATATTATTTACGATATTTTACAAAATGTAAAACGAAAGCACACTTTGTTAAATGAAGAATTTGCTCTATAATAATTACGTTATGTAAGTATCGCGCAGGCTTTAATAAAAATATCGTGGCCTTTGAGCGCGTCGCGCGGGTCTCTCTCTCTCTGTGTGTGTGTGTGTGTGTGTGAAGGGACATATAAAAAAGTGTGCATATAAAAAACGAATCTTTCATCTATAAACGATTATTTACAGGATTCCTGTGTTCTCTTGTGTGTATGTTTGACCAGAGTTACGTGCGCAATCAACGAGACGAAATAACACCTCGTATTAAAAAAGACACGGTAAAGCGTAGACGCTTTTATCGCGAGACGAAGAATTGTCCGCAGGCTTGTCGACGAGCATCCCTCGGCGTCCTACCCCCTTTAACGCAATCTCCATCTACGACGCAGTTAGCGCACTTGTTTAAAGTAAGGCTCGCCGCGTCGTGCTTGGAAAAATAGCGCGGACGCGCCTCGACCCCGCTCATTATTCCTGCCAATAACGTCTCATGCTTAATTACCGTCGCATATTGTCGCGACAAATAACGACCGCCTCGAAAAGACATCGCGAGGAAAATGGTATTGCGACGTATCGCTCTTGTCGATCTCACTTTCGCTACCAGATGTTGGGTCCGCGTCACAGTATTAAAGCAAGAAACATAAATACATGAATGTAAAAATCGTTAAAAGTAGAGGGCTGGAAGCGAAGAGCTGTTAAAGAGAACGAAGGGAACGATAACGGGTGTCGAAGAAGAAGTGAACACGAAGAGGCAATGTGCCCCGATATGAAGGCAAGTGTTACCTGTTGCTTTGGTCCCGGAGCCTCTTCGCTTGCCGGGCTGTTCTTGCCCCGAAAAAACACTTTTAACTCACTTCTCGAATGTCCCCGATGAAACCAGTCGAACGTTAGCTGGACAGCAGAATTCGCGGGTGAGGAATGCGCAAAAAATTTTATCGCGTACATACGAGTCGAGCGAACGAACAAAGTAAAATCTTCAGAAGAAGCAATCGATCGCGTAGATCGAGCACGCTTTCTCTCTCGTTAACAAGTATTCTCTACTGATGGGCAATGGCATAGTCTAAGAAATCGAAAGACTAGAGAGCTCCCATGAATTATAGCATAAAGCATAAATAAAACAACAGCTATTCGTCGACGCGCTGACGAGAATCGCCAACCGAACGCGACAGTATGCGAATTACCTTTGCGAGATCCGTAGACGCGTAGCGCAACGGATCGATCCGCCGGTTCCGATCGATACCGCGATACCGCGGAAGCGCGATCGCGATGGATTTCCGGTGCGCAAGACGCGTTCGTGCTATCTCTTTCCAGCGGAAGGGACCGATTTCCGCGGCGGAGGACGATGAACGCGAAAGCGTGTGTGACGTCCGGACTGCCGTCGCCGCCTCCGTATGATGTTTGTCCTGACGCAAGCGGCGACGCGAGCTTTGGCGCGTGGGCGTCGCGACGCGTTGCTCCGAGGGCGAGCGAGAGACAGAGAGTGAGAGTGACAGAAACAGAAAACAGAGAGAGAAAGAGAGACACGAGAACTTCCGCCGCGAGCGGCTGGCTAGAACGGAAATCACGGACACGGGGGTTGTGGAAGACGTCCGCGCGGCTTTCGCTCCGAGGGAGAGCTGAGACGCGGAAGACACGTCGCGGAGATCCGTGTGAATGGACGTCGAGACGCGGCCGAAGAGAGTGAGAGCGAGCACACAGAGAGCGCGGAGTCTCTGGACGAGCAGAGGTGCACGAAATGCAGAGCTTCCTGTCGATGAAGCGTCGACGGGGCGTCGTGAAGCGCCTGCGTCACGTCGGACGCCGATCGAATTCCGCGGATGAGGCTTCTGCGCCGGCTCGACCCGGAGGACCTCTCTCTTCCCCGATGGAACAGAAGGAGAATTCTGAGCGAGGGACGGATATCCTTGGGGCCGATTGATTAAATATCACCTGCCAGATAGTTTGGTCTGATGCCCGCGGCGCCTTCCCCTAATGACGTCGCCTTTGATTTTCGATGGAGATGAGTAGGACGCGGTGATCGGCGCGACGCGGAGTAGCTGAACACCATGGCTCCAGATTAAAGATTCTTTTTTCTCAGTTTTGCATAATATTTCCGCGAATTATAAGGTATATCGATCAAGTTATGCAGTCTATACAATAATTTCCAAGCGTAATCTACACCTGTTCGATTTCTGTTCTGACAGGATAGACCTGTCGGCTAACTGATACTTATTTAATTGATATCTAGTTTCTTTTTTCTTCAACTGTAAATATTGTTATTCTGCTTCGAGCAATTCTGAGGAACGAAAGCTCGCACCAACATCAAATTTATATTTTTACAAGTATCGATTGATTTCATTGAGAACGTCGAATTAATTAATAATATTATATTCGATGTGTGCATTGTGATACACGCTTGCTCGTATGAATGTCTTCTACAAGGAATATCTCTGAGAAAAATACGTTGTACTGTTTAAAACACAAGTTTTCCAGAATTTGCTTCCAGACCCGATATTTTCTACACATCTCGTGCGTACTTTCAACGAGCCATCCGAAACGCGAGCAACGAAAGTGAAGGTAAACGCGAACTCCGCTCCATGTGACTAATCCGGGTCAAGCTCAAAATCTGCCGCTGTGGATCGGACTCATCCGTGTCGGTGAAGGAACTTTCGTCCCTCTCCGGGCTGCACTATCTTTCTCTTCTAATCAATACGACTCGACGGTGCCGCAACAAGTAGCAAGACGGCTAGAAAAGGCGTAAGAGAGATACGCAACCGCGATGTTTTCGAACTGTTTGCAGAAATTTCGCGAGTCTACCGGTCCGCGTGGACCGTATTGTTCGTGATGAACGAAACCGCCGACAAGTCGGGCGGTACTACTCACGTGGTAAACGATTATTTTCAATTATTATTGATTCTAACGACCTGCGGTCGCGCGCAAGCATTCGTGCTCCTTTCGCAGCATTATCCGGAAATTAAGAATATCCTTCGATATTTCCGCGAACGGGATAGTTTTCAATGTGCACCTCTTCGTTGATCCTCAACGTTCCCGGTCTTCTTCTCTTCGGGGACAAATCCTAAAATCTACAAACAAGGCTCGAGTCGTCGCTTTGTGATGCTTCCCAGTGCGGACGCACTCCGTCCAAGTTTCGTATCGCGACGAAGAAACCACCCTCGTAGAATTCCTCGTCCCTTTTTGCCCGAGTGGAGTCCCTCGCACAGCGACATGCGCCTCCTGTATCGGCGAGGCACGCCTGCGCGAGAATAACGAGCGACTTCGTTCTTGTTCACGTAGCAGCGGCAACCCTCGATAATTGTTAAACGGCTCGATAGACAGGGCTGTGGCCGTCGTCGTCGCGACGAATGGAAATCCCCTCGACCGGGAGAACACTTTCTCTCCCCGTCCTGCCGGACGAACTCGGCATGCAAGAGTACACGTTGCCCCGCTGAATGAGCCCGGCGAAGTCGCGACGACGCCTACCCTCGTGCGCCGCGATGTCGTTATCAGATTTTTCCGGCGTGATTATTGATCCCTGACGTCGTTTACCTTGCGCCTCGAAACCTGGCCGGGACTCGTGGGCGACCGGAATCGGGTCAAGGCTGGCTGGAACTGTGTCGCGTTCCATTTCCACGCGGCGCTTCATCCTCGCGAAGAGAATTCTATTTATACTTTCGCTCGAAACCTCGCGTCGTCCTTGAGTATCTCCACGTCGTATGCAGTGGTGCGCATATCGCCTTTTAATTAACTAACGGTTATCTCTGACACGTCTAGAAAATATTTCTGATCGTTTGGAGGTAAGAATTCCTAATCGTTTAGAGATAATGATGATAATTAAATATAATGATAATTATTTCTAAATGATTTTACAACGTTTCGACTTCGTTTGAGGCGTCGAGGTCGGGATTAAGTACGAGACGGCGTAGCGGGTTGGCGGAAATGCGTCGATAACATAAAACAACATCGATTTATTCAACACAAATACTTGCACGTTATGATAGAGGTTCGTAGTAATGATAATCATGATAATAATATTCATATATACACGAAATAAGGCACGTTCGATATTACATTAATTAAACGCGTGCGTCCCGGCGGCGTAGCGGTCGCGTTACTCACATTTATCGTTTTTTCTTCTTCTTTAATTATTACTATCAATCGTCCTGCTTCCCTCACGATATGCAACGTCCTTACCAAATGTAGAAAATGTCATATGCATATATATATATATGTATAATCTGTATAAACTTGTCCTCTCTTTCGTGTCTCGAGCGAACCATTCGGCGGATTGCGAGACGGATTCGCCTCGCGGCTAAGCGAGGCATTCTCCGTCCACAATCGCATTTCCTCGCCCTGCACAACATTATCCGACGTCTCGCATTGGCAAAACCGCGGCCTCCGCAAACTCGTTTATATCCTTAAGATTAGAACCGCTAATTAGAGACATATCTAATTAAGCACACACTCGTACACGGATTAGTTTAAACTCGTTGCTTCTTTCTCTCCCTCTTACTCTCTTCCCTTCTTTCTTCCTTCTTCCAGCGGAATACTTTACACGATTAAACTGTCTCGACGCACAACTCACGACCTTCACGACTAATTAATGCGCGAAAACGCGAATCCGAACATATCGCGAATCCCTCGATCTCTCTTCTTGCGACCTGCGAACTCATCTGCGTGTTTCGTCGATTTGCACGCGGTTCTACGTTCTGCACGTACTTCTAATCACAGTTCCTCTCCGAGAAATCGACACCTGAATTCCGTTCGCTACACTCTTCTCTTCCGAGAGAACGTCGCTCTTGCATCTGAATTCAACGGAGAAGGGAAAGATATGTGTTTCAGAGAGATGGAAAGATGATATGCTTCAAAGTGCTTCGAACGATGGAACTCGCATAGAGAAAGAAATTCGGAAAAAAGAGAACGAACGATGATACGCGGACAAACGCCTTCGCGAAAGTGACGATCGTCCGCTGATATTTGCGATTTCGTTGGCACGCAGAAATCATGTTCACGGATCGCGCCTCGAGTCGGACGAATCCGCGAGAATGAACGGAAGGAACGATCGTCTGGAGTCGCGCGCTCGCGTTGATCCCAACGTGGATCAGGGAGAACATCTTGTGAATGTTTCAGCACGCGTTTCGCAAGTGACAGAAGAACCAACGCGTCCGTCGACGACGTTGAATCGCTTCGCGCGCGCTCCCTATCTTTATACGAAGACTGTGTGTGTATTTACTCCCACGATCGGTTTCGTATATACGCGATATGTAGTTAAAGTTTCAAGAAAAGACCCACATTCTTCTAAAGAGCGTATTATTTCTTCTCATCGTGGAGTATTTCGCACGGCGGGCTCACGCGCGGTCGAGCTGACGATTGCCAGTCACCTCGCCGAGTCGTCGCAATTTCGCCCGCGGTAATCGACAACTCGTACACGCGTGTCCGCGCTCCCCTTAAATTTACTTAGGCGGTACTTATATCCTGAACTGGCATCAAGACATCGTATCTTACACGAATGTACAAACGAAATCGAACGAGAATCGCCTGTGCCTCCTCGGAATGTGCTTTCGCCGCTCCTCCCTTACATTTATTTTCCTTCTCTGCGTTTTCCCGACTACCTTACACGAGTATCCTAAATTAAGAACTAAAAACGGAGAAAATACAATCTTTTTGTCGCGCGACTTTGACGCGTGGAAACGTCGCCGTCTTCATCTCTCTTGCTCTCTCGTCGTTGTTCTCGCGAGAAGAACAGTCACAAGAGGTAAAGAGAGATTACGGGCGATTGACAAGTGCTATCGTCGCGACGAGTGGTCGAATCGTCGACTAGGCGACGCGTGGCGCACGTCCGACGATTGTCTCGGACGTGTGGAATGATGTTTAGCAGTACGATCGAGATATTACATTTCGTATACGTGTTTGCGCACTAATGAGATGGACAGAGTCGGGAGGAATCGTCTCCGTCCGAGTGGCGGTGAATAAATCGCGCGCGGTCTCGCCCTCACGACTCCCCGGCTACCTGCACCTCAAGGAATCCCCACATAATCGGGCAGACGACTCACAAGATAAACCGCCGGTGATAAAGCCCGATTAGACGGGCGCGCGAGCCGTTGCGTGAGTATAACGCAGTTATTTTAACGCAACAGTGCGTCAAGGGACTTGTAACTCTTCTCGCGCTCCCTTCGAACGTCGCACCGGCTTTCTCACGGCTTTCTTCAACAGAGGGAGAGAACTCGACGGAAGGACTCGACCATACGGATATATCGTCTAATACGATCTCCTTAAATCATTCGGCACACGCGAGTACAAGTTCTCCCGAACGGCGCGCCACTTACGTGCTCGCCACGTTAATTGCGTGCGAGGTTAGTCGCGACAGCGGTGCGATCTCGGGATATGGATATTTCAAAATTTGGCACTTGACTGTTGTCTTCTAAAAGGATCAATGACGACTGTCGTTGGGCACGCTTGTTCGGACTCGTCCAAGACGCTCTGGAGAGTTTGCGTTCGCGAAAACTCTTGGATACGAGAACCGCGACGGGCGGATAACCGAGGAGACGGATAGAGAAGCGAACCACCGCTCGTCGCCTGGGCAGACAATCGACGACGATTTGCTTTCGTGAGGATCGACGATGGCGCGCAACGGGTAATCGCGCTTCCTGGATCCTCGCGAAAGCATGGACGATCGGCGAACGAAAGTGACGATCGAGAGGTCTGCGCGATACGGTCGATACGGTCACGTTCGTTCACGATCCTCTTTTGCTATCTCGGGCCGCCGATCTGTCTCTTTCTTTTGCTTGCGATAAATCTGTTAGCTTCTTTTTCTCTTTCTTTTTAGGATTACGACATAGAGAACTGAGGCCGAGACGCGGCTGACTTGAGCCGCTGCGCGTCGTCGCTCTCTCAGTGGAGACATACATATGTATAATCTATAATTTAACCTTAAATGCGCTGTATTTCTCGAGTAAAAAATTCTCTAAGCATATTGTTCTCGCGAGTGTGTTTCGTTGCATCACGATCCGCCGCTTTTCGTCGTTTCACGGTCCGTATAGTCTCGATCTCTTCCACTGATTTCGGAAGAGATGGCCAGGCTCTTCCTCTCCAATTTCCGTGGCAGCGCGCGATACGTCAAGTATCGAGAAATTGCACCGGCCGAACTCGCACTCGGCGATCGTCCGTGGCGATCTTGCTCGGACGAGCGGCGCCCGACGATGGGATTCCGCGATCTCGCTAGCCACGTGATTTATCTGCCGAAGCGGGTCTTGGCGATCGAGTATCGTTTGCGCGGCAGCCAGGAGTTTCTGGCGACGCGCTCGAAGCCCTGGCCGAAATTGCGCGAGTGACGGCGCGAGAAGGCGCGGTATCATAGCTTCGACGGGTCGTAATTCTCAAAGGACCACTTCTGTTTCGACGCGTTCGGCAAGCATTCCTCCATCACCAGCTGCTGCTTGCTCTCCGTGATAGCCAGACACTTGTCGCTGCTGCCGTGCCTGATCTGATTAGTCTGAAAGTGAAAAATACCAAGTTTTGATCGAGTTTCCTTTTTTCCCTTTTTGTTAACTTGATTTGTTCTCGCAAAATTGAGTATTGGCGGTAGTCGTTTGAAACTTGTCCTCCACGTGAGACAGATATGAATTTAGAGTTCAAGTGAACTTTTCATTTGAATCATTCAGTATGCGTGCGATTACATCTGTAATCTATAATTCAACTGAAAAATTCAAATCTAGCCCTGAACTCAGAGCTGAGCATTTTACGCGCAAATTTCATGTAACGACTATTAATTAACGAGAGAGACTGAAGCAATTTAATCAGAATTAATTGCGTTAAAGTCGCAGAGAGACGCCAGAGCTGTATGATGTCTCATAGCGATTCGTAAAGGAAATTTACCGGCTCCAGGCTCGGAATCGTGATTTAGGATTCTTACCCGACGCGTTACATTCAATTAGCGAAATACAGTGGAGAGATGAGCCATTACCTGAGAATCGTACATCCATAGCTGATTCCCTTTACCCCCGTGGCAAGGATAGAGGATGACGTCGCTACCGCTGTAGTCCAAGCACGACTCGTCTCGGCGGATCTCACCCGTCTTGCTGAGCATCCAGTACTGCGATAAACGATCTCAATTAGCGCGTCCGGGACTTGATGGTCGCGCAGGCTTGCCTATGACCCGACGGTTCTGACAGATGTCGCGGGAGAAACAATTCCGCGCGCCGGCAACGTTCGAACGATTGATCAGAGAGAGAGAAAGAGAGAGGGAATCTCTCTTTATCTAATAAAATCGAGATACGAATGTCAGAGCTGTAAAAAAAAGAGAAAAAAAATCGACGCGAATGATACGTCGCGCATTTAATGGTGCGCTCGGCAACAATAAATTCCTAACGATCCCTTTTTTAAAGCGTCCCCGCGGCCGTATTATCGTGATCCGTCAAACAACGATATTACCTGCCGGGGATATTTGCAAAACGCGCACCGCGGGGATGCGAAAAATCGCGCGATGCATTTAATCCGTCGCATTGCACGTACGCGTACGTTTGCGTGCCCCAGCGGGACTCGGAAAAAAAGGGACGCACGTTCCGTGAATATTACTGCGCGCGAGTGCACGGCAATTGTGGACGCGAATTTTCGCGGTGTAACGCAGGACGGCCGATCGATTACGCGCGCCGCTTGCTAAATAACTTGTCCCGACAATCGGGCGCGAGTGTGCGACCAACAGTTATTCACCGCGGGCGATGCGCTGCGCTGTGCTGCGCTTCGCCTCGCGCACCAAGCTGAGCGCGGCGTGTTCGAGGTAGGCGCGTTAAAGCGAGCCACGTCCATAATGAGCGGCGATCGTCGATAATCGAGTCCGCTGGTCCTCGAAATTGCACTCATCTGACCGGGCGCCGGTTGTTTGTGCAATTCCAGCCGCCTGGAATTGACAGCGAACGAGCTGACGAGCCGCTCGCGTCGCCCATAAAGGCCCCTCCGATTGCTAAAATTGCAAATTCGTTCCAGTGTTCCTGACTCGAGATGTCCGTTTGACACCGGGCAGACACAAAGACGCGAGTGAGCTAAATTCGCGAGAAATTGCTCAGCCATTTTTCTCTCCTCTTTTCTGGACGGCCGAATGAACGGTCCTCGCGATTCGCAATGACCTAACGCTAACTTAATACGGGAAACGGGGGCGGACGGTGAATCTCGGGCCAGCTGCTGTCAGAACCGTCGGCTCGACAATATAGTGTTTTCAAGTGCTTTACAAGTATAATTAGGGAACAGCGGGTTTGGGATAACGAGAAGCAAGCATTTGAGTCGCGCACATGCGTCATCAAGCATTTGGTTGGCCATGCACGACCTGCGTTCCATTCTGCCTGAAACTCTCAAATCGGAGCGCGCAGCACGCGCTTTGGCCGCGATATGATACAAGCGCGCGCGCGTGCGCCCGCGTCGCTCTTCTATTACATATCGCATGCTCATCCGCGCCGTTCTTTGCACAGCGCGAGGGACAGAGGAAGAAGAAATGTTAGAAAACGTTGTCGCGCGGGAAATACAGTTGTCGACTCGCGCGAGTAGAGTTCCGCATTGTCGCGCGAGCTTGATAATTACAGCGTGACGCGGAACGACGTTGATATCAAACGCGATCCCGGGGGCGCATAATGCCGATGATAATTCCGTACACGCACGGCCCGGATCCGCATTGTAGTAGGCCATAAACGGCCGGCTCGGCCCACCGCAACGGCTATCTCCCACGATGCACTCGCCTTCCATCCGATGTGATACGATTATTCATCTTCCATCATCCGCGATCGCGGGTGATCCCGGATCTGGGAGGCCGGCGGCGGCAGCAGATAGATAGATAGATAGAAAGAGGGAGCGGGGCCGTGGCAGCAGTTCGCTGCGACTTTATCAGCGTCACCCGGGCGACGACCGAAAGCGTAATTGCCGTGAAACCGCGGCTTAATTGCGAGGGCAAACAGCTAAATTAAAGCGACGCTTTACCGAACTAAGCAAGCACCGACTGATTGTGTTTTTGGTTGTAACCGGTCGCCACGGTTGTTAAACGCTTCCGTGTGCACACGTGTGTGTCGTCGGTGGACGAGCGACAGCAACAGTCGCGTCGCGTCGCGCGGACGCGTGCCGCGTTCCGTGTGGGTGGCTTTAATAACAGACCGCGTCGACCGAACGAATGCAAGAAACGAGATAAAGCGCGAATTTACCGCGATTTGCGCGCGCGAATCGCGCTCGATAGTCGCGCCGTGTCGGCACGAGTGCGAGCTCGCTAATGAAATTGCCAACGTTATTTTTTACGCGCCGATTATTGCGATGTAGTCGAGGTAGTTCGGCCAAAAGAGCTGCCTCTGGATGACTCTTTAAACGTACGCGGTTCGCTTTTTTTTACATCGCGTCATCGCTTCGACCTAAAATTCCATAATAAACTGCGGAAAATGTACACGCGCGGAGAGAATATTACAGCTATAATATATACGGCATATAAATAGATTTTCAAGTCACGAACAGAATGTCAATAGAGTTTATCTTGCTAAGAAACTTTAAATTTTTTGTGGTATAAGTTTCCATTTCTGGTAGTGTAGGTAGCGTACATGAGATGAGAGAATAACAAATTGAAACAGAATGTCGATATGTTCTTCATTTATAAAATTGCGCGGATTTGCGTGTATGTAACTGCGATATGTACAAAATATGTTAAGTATCTCTGAAAAAACGTCAAAAAGATAGATAACACGGTTTGATCGTCGAATATACGCGGCTCTGGGTTTCTCATGCAGCTCTTTTCATTCGTCCTTGGACAATAACGCGCGAATCACGGCGCGAATGGGGCGAGATCAGCGATTAAATCAACGGTAGCGGATATCAGCGTGAGAAATAAGACGATAAACCCGCGGCGAGTAACCCCGGTGTACCAAAAGGCAGGCGATTTAGGTCATCGTGCCGAGGGGGGTAGGTAGCGGGGACGTGGATTGATGAGCACCTGCACCAGATTAGCGACGCTGCTAATTACGCCGAAATGCGGCGCGATTAGCGGCGAGTTAGCGTGCACGCGAGCGAGAATAGGCGTTTACCGAGGATCGACTTTTGTACAGATCGCAAGATCCTGGGCGCTCGCAACGCCCGAGAGAGCCGCGTATTAAAACAACCCCCTGCACCTGTCGTCCCATCTTTCACCAATTCAACCGATTAGAGAAACCCCAGAAGGATTAATTTGGTTCATTGATGAATTTTTCATCGTTCCCATTCAACGAGACGATTTATTCACACGGTTTCATTCCTCGTGTACCTGATTGCCGCCTTGGCGGTGACAGGGATACAAGCCCACCGGCTGATGCAGATCTTCGGATTTCCCCGGTGAATCTATACATATGCCGCTAGCGACCTGCCTTATCTGCGTTCAGAATTTCACACGATTAGTGCCGGGATAAAGACTCGCGCGCTCGTAGTAGTAGTAGTACTAGTCGTCGTCGTCGTCGTGGCTCGAAATTCGCGACGATGATTTCGTGCACGATCGTGCACGATTTACCTCTCGCACTCGCAGCACTATGTACGAGAATCCAAGCAGCTGGAAGCGCGCGAACGCACATGGCACATGGAACGAATGCGCTCGCTCGCGCGATTAGAGGGGCACTCTCGCGGGCTGCACCCTCCCGCCATTGGGCCAACACAACGCGCGGATAGTGCGGGTCGATATTGCCGATGAGACGGAAACTCGATTTTCTAGTAATTTGGTATGTAGCTGCGATTAGCTCCGCCACGGCGGCGAAATTATGGCTCGCGTCCCGCTGCGTGTTCGCGCGCGAGCACACACTCCGCTCCGCGCGCGCGATCCGTGCGCAATGTTTACCCGCGTGTGCACAGGTATTATACGATAATAATTAGGCCGCATACCGACGGCTCGCGACCGCTAACAAGCGCTGTCATTTTGCGGCTGGAAGCGACGAACGATCGTGTATCCAGCGGCAGAATGATATTGATTATCGTAGTATCATGGAGTCGCGCACTTGCCAGCTCAAACGACTCATCGACTCCGAACAATCCTGTGCCATTAAAGGATTTGGATTGATCTATACGTTTTAGGTAATACGTGGAGAAGGAATATCAGTTGAATTAATGCGACAATAGCACGAATAAATGCGTTTTGGTCGAGGAATGCAGAATTTCTGGTCCTGGTGAAACAAAATCGCTTCTTAAGAAACAGAAACTCTGTTTCCTTCAACTAAAATATGTTTAGTTGTGTTACTTGAACGGAATAAATTTATAAATTTATAAATTTCCATCAAACAATACGCGGAGAAGAAGATTGGTTGAAGCAACATGACAATGACACAACTAAATTGCGTTTTTGTTGAGAGAAACATGATTTCTGATTCTTCAGAATTTGGTTTTTAAGAATTAGAAATTCTGTTTCTTTCAACCAGAAGAACCAAATTTAGGTCTCAAGAATCGAAAAATCTGTTTGCTTCGAGCGAAATGCATTTGATAGTGTTATTGTCACATTAATAATTTAACCAATTTTCTTTCTCCATGTGATCTCGCACGGAATGACAGTCTTTTTCATTTTCCCCGTCGGCGTTTCTTCGCGAGCTATCAGTTTCGACGCTGCGACGCGACCGTCAGCTCGAAAACTGGCGGGTGTTCGATGCTTTGAAATATGCTGAGAAAACTGCATTTCCAAGTGGCGGCCACGACGACGAAGAAACTTCGAAGGTCGGACGCGCTCCGCGGGCGAAAGTCGTGTTTCCGTCTCGAAGCATTCAGGAATGCATACACGGCGACCTCGCGCATATCAAGCACGGACAGGCGCGGGGAACAACAGTGCGCTTGCTCGCGGGGCCAGGAAATTTCTTCTGGCTCTCTGGCAATGTCTATTATACCTGATTTCCGCCCTGTTGATGGCAGGGATACAATCCGCACGGCTTGTGCATGTCGGCCTTGCGCGCCGGTGAGTCCAAGCAGATATTACCGCCCGCGCCGAGGTTTCGAATCTGTTTGTTATTGGCGATCGTTGCGAAACATTAGTGAATGAGAGCCACCGTATTGTAATTATCCGAGAATAAATCGCGCACAGACTAATAACGAGCATGTCGTTAAAGAGAGGTGAACAAAGCACCGTCGACAGTGCGATATTTCCACGTTGGAGTTTCGTAAAAGCTTCTACGTATATGACTGCGTGCTGGTATGCATTCGAAAATAACAGTATAATGTATGTCAACGTTGCTTTATCATCTCAATATATCACGCTACTAAAAAAATATCTATTTAGGTCACACGGTGTATCTGCAAAAATAATGAAAAATTATAACAGAGTTAGCTACCAATAGTTCACTTTCACTGCGTCACATTTTGTCATTCCTTATCACAACTGTGGCCTCTGCTGCTCTCTGAAATAGAATATGGGGTGAAAAGCCGGGCGCTCCCCTTAACACGGGATAATTATTTCTTCCTTTTTTTCCAGCCCTTCGCCGAGCACAGATTCGCAGCATGCTCGCGGAAAGGCAGGACTGCGCGCGAACCGCGGCGGGTCGCGCTCCCTATTTTTCAGATAGACGAGAACAAATAGAAAATGAGCTCTGGCCGTATTTTGCTCGGTCCGACGCGCCTGTAGTCGCGGCTGACTACGTGCGTGTGCGTTATATGCGAGTATGTCTGTTGTCTGTCTATTTATGCTATGTATGTGCGTGTGCATAAGTGTATCTGTGAGATACGTCGCGGGGTGGTATATGCCAGCGATTCGTGTGTGTACGCGCGCGTGTGTGCGCCCTGCGTATAACAGCAGGTGCATCCAGTTACGGAGCTCGGTCAGCAGTCCTGATTCCGCCGCATGCAAGAATTCTGTGGTCGTTGCAGTTTCAACGTGAACATCTTCATCCCCTTGTCACCCCGCCGGTCCTGCGCCACATCCCGGCGCTTCGCCGGCTCGTGGAAGTCGTTCTCGTTGTCGAGGCGTCCTCTTCTCGTCGTGGAGCGAGCGGAATAAAAACTCGTGATTTATGGACGGCGGGGCCGCGTCCCGGGACTCGATAAAATTTCAGAAGGCACCGGCGTCGACATTATTAAAGGCATCCTCGAAGGCTCTTAGTGAACTCAATGAGAAATGTGATCCGGTATTTAGACAACTTTATGGTCTCGCGTTACTTTCAACTCCGGGGGTAATGAACATCACGGTGAAAGAGTCACGAGTTCTGGATATTTTTCGAATTTTGCAGTGTTATTTCAGAATCTACGATTTTAGAATACTTTTTGCACTCTCCTCCTCGCGCGATTTTTATTTGATATGTGGAAAGGAATGACTGCACGCTTTTAATGTCTTTTAATAGAGGTTGTCAGGAATATTATTGATAAAGTGGCGTGCAAGAGAGAGAGTGGTACGCGCGCGGAATATCACAGACGCTCCTCGTTAAAAAAAGATCCACTCGCGGGGTATGCGCGATCGGCGCGAGGGTTAAACAAAACCTCCCGCGCCGTCGCGTTTTTACTGCTCATTCCTATGCTGCGGTTGCGGAAAGCAGCCATGCAGTTAGAATGACTCAAAAGTCACGGAGAACATCCCCGGAGAAATGTACGCCCGCTCCGTGCACGTACGTAGAAACACGTGCACCCGAAATTATTCACATCGTGCGCGATTTCTGGACCGTCGTGGAGTCGTGTGAACTATAAATCCAGTCATCCCTTCTCCGCCGCGATAGGGAGGCCGGGGCGTGATTTAGTCCGGTTCCACGGAAGCAAATAGAGAGCAAAAAGAAGAGGGAGAGTAAGGATAGAAAAGAGAGAGATGGAAACACAGTGAAGGAGCCGCAAAGGTGACAAATCCAGACCGGAAGACGGGAAAGGAGGTAAGTTCCGCCGTTGGCGCGCGAATGGAATTGTTATTTTGTGTATGTCGTCAAGCGATTCTGAAAAATCTTCTCTCTCTCGTTTTCCCCCCTTATCGTGGAACCGTACCGAGTTGCCGATAACGTGCGTTAGCGGGAGTGACGAAGAGGCGCGGCCGGAATTTCGATTCTGTCGGAAAATGGGAATTCTGATTTCCTCAAGAGATCTTAGACGAGTGTTATCCGTCCCTTGAAGCGCCTATCTATGTACATCGTGTTCGCAAATTCTTTGGATCCGCGCAAAAGAATGCTGGTATTTGATAGCGGATAAATAATTTGTGATATAACTTTCCGCATATTTTGGATATATTAAAAATTCCAAAGGCCGAGTAGTTTTGAGGAACTATGGTAGCTAAAAATTCGTACACCCAAAGTACGGTCGTGCGCGGCAGCATCCGAATCGATAAAACGCATGGATGAAACGGACGTTGCAACGCAACGTCCAGATCGCATCGAGTCGTCTTTCTCCGCGTCCTGCGGAATGACACGAACGGAAGTTATGTTGCGCGTGGTGTCATCGCTGGCCAAAGATTACACGAGCGAGTAAATTCGTGAGCGACGGCTGATGCAACACTATCTTTCATATGGATGGTATGTGCCAATTTTCTCGGCGCAGCGACAACGCAGGGAGACAAAGAGATAAATAAAAACAAGGCAGAGAGAGAAAGAGAGAGAGAGAGAGAGAAAGAGAGAGAGACAAGAGAAAGAATGCAGGAGAGTAACGAATACATCCGTGTTCCCGAATAATTCAAATCGGCAAAAACATGACGGTGCCGCGGACACGCCGGGCAACTTACGCGGCGAAATTGTTATTTCGCGTATGGCGCGGACCGCATTCCAAAGTACGCTCGCGGCCGCGTGAATGCTTCTTCCCGAAAATGTGCACCCATCCTTTATACATTCCTCCTTTTTCCATCGCTTTTTCTGCGATGCTTTCTTGTAGTTTCCCTATTCCGCCCGCTTGCGGATGCCACTGTGTCAGTGTACATGGACAGAGATGGAGATAGAGGGAGAGAGAAGGAGAGGGAGAGAGAGAACGACAGAAAAGAAAGAGAGAGAGCACGGAAAAACGCATTCCTTGCTCTATCTCGGGAAAACGTGAGTGGATCGCAACAAACGACAAGCCGGCCAAGGGGTGTAGACGAGGCGGAGGGCAACGGGAGGGCTTGGTCGATAATATCCGAGCCCTCCAACGATTCTGGGTTCTGTTGCTTTTTATTATCATGTTCGATCGGAATATTGCCTTCATACGGCGGAATACGCGTATACGCGTGTCATAGATGGAATGGCGGCGGCGCGAAATTGCGACTCGGCAGGATCACGGTGTGGCGTACACGCCGGCGATCTCGGGTGTTTTGTGTCTCGTGAAACAATACGACAGTGCGATTTGTGCCCGAATAAACGTATACGCTGTGTGCGAATGTTTTATACTTTGTTTCGACAAATGTTGTATATCGCCGAGTGCAATAAGGCGCAATGAGATGTTCCGGTCTCTCTCTTTCTCTCTCTCTCTCCCTTTTTTTCTGTTTATTTTCGCGATGGAAACAATCGAACGTAATGCGATAAGAGAGAAATGCATCGCTATCGGCTTATCTTCTATTCCAAGCGCCATTACGGCATTATTATATAATTTTCAACGAGATTCTCGGATGCTTCGTGTTCAATTGCGCCTTGTTTCTCTACGCGCGATGGAAAAATGAAGGAAATTTAACGAATTCCGGGTATGCTATTCGAAACTCTTGCAAACATACACCAGTTATCCTTCGAGAATAACATACTCGAAGGACGGCTGCGGATATCTCCTTGAAAAGTTAAAACTCGAGATACCGCTCTTAGCACTCGCGCCAGCGAGAGTCGATAACGGCTTGCCCGATCTCGTTAATAGAAGGATCATCTTGCGAATTACATCGTGCTTAAAGCTCTCGTCAGAGAGACCCGTCAAACTCACCGCGACAGGAGTACAGATGATATTTCGCTGCCGGCGACCGATATTATGAGAAGCTGAAATATTTCCGCGATAACGCCGCGAAGCAACGAGTCGCGCGCTCGAAACTTAACCGGAATTTCCGGTACAACGAACTTTAGTGCGCTCGGTTATCTTACACGGCGTGCGCGGCCGCGCGCGCACGAAGATAGCGAGGATGAAGATGATCCTGATACGAGAAATCCAAGTGAAGTGTGAAGATAACGAGGCCAGGCCCCGAGACCGTGCACGGACGCGCGAAAAAGAGACAACGCCGGGGGTGAGAAGGTCGCCGCGAGCGGGACAGAGATAAATGAGGGGAAAGAGGGACGGGGCACGAAATATTTGAGTCGCGTGACACTGTGACGCGTGTAATGCAAGCCGAGGTTTAACCTCCGTTGAAGAAGTTCTTCGTACGTGTGTCAGCGGGGCTTGCCGCTCGGCTTTGAGCGTAGGGACCGGGGATGAAGAGATAATAGAATATATTATTCAATAACGCGAATAATTTGCAACGTAAACCAGATATCGCGCGAAAAGAACGAAATTTTGTGCGCGCGCGCGTGAGATATATATATATATATATATAATATAAAATCGATAGATATATCCCATTACACGCGTGAGAGAAAGAGATATATAATATAAAAATGATAGATATATTCCATTACACGATATACATCATTAGAGTCATGACAAGGATGTCTAATACCGTGGGAGTTGGATTTAATCAACACGGCTTGATTTCGTTATTCAAGATAAAAGTACTGATAGACGTTAATAACACTGGTAATTCTGTACATTTTTATTGACTTGGTTTTTAAATGCGAATATTTAAACTTTCAACGTACACGGGGAAAATATAAATTACAAAATTTTTGGACCATATAGAATTATGACTGAAATTATATATTTATTAAAAAATGTTATACACGTTTGATTTTTTGAAAAACATTTTATTTTAATTACTTTAATACTTTAATACTTTTTATATTAAATATCAGGTATCAGATCGTCAAATACGATTTTTATATATTAATTTGTACTACCATTTCAGTATAGTCTAATTTTATAAAAAGCAAATTTTATAAAAAAATGTAATTTTAACGTAATTTTTGCTACAATATTTTCTCCGTATAGAATACAGGCATATATTCAATGTACGTATACACATTCTCCATATTGAAAGTTGAAATATTCGTACTTAAAGACCAAAACAATAAGAATATCCAGAGTTAGATATTAGCGTTATTAGTGTCTAGGCATTGGTACTTCAGTGAGCCACTCTAGCGTGATGCGCGGTGTATTAGCGTGACGAACAAGTGGCGACAAAAATACACCGTAACTCACCCCTTAGCGCTAATTGGATCTTCCCCTCGTAGAGTGTTCCCTCCAAATATTCCTACTCTCAATGGAAAGTCTCCCTTTCTCTCTTTCTTGTTTTCTGCACTTTCGTCGACGTTACCGACGACGTGTCACACGGGCGGAATTTACATTCGCTCTGAGAGCACCGGCGAGGAAAAAAGGGCGACCTCGCACTCGTGGAGTGTTTTACTTTCTTCACGGGCGCGTTAAACGCGATCGCGGCGGCGGCAGTGGACGGTCGCGGGGTTAATGCACTGCTGTTGGCTCATGATAAAATTAAAGGAACAAAAGGAAATTGGGCGCGAGGACGTGGGAGAGGTAGCGGAATGATGAAGTATGAAATATTCGTGTCGCGTGACGCTGCAATTTATCCGTCGGCGTTGCAACGCCGTTAATACCGCCGGTGCCTACGTACCGTGACTTTGTCACGGAGCGGTATGCCATGTGTAAAGAGAGAAAGAGAGAGGAATGGTGTGTACATGTAACACGCGCTGCGTGGAAATACGGAAAGGGTAGGAGGAGAGTGGGTGAGTACGCAAACCGGGGAAGGCGGATTTATTTCCCGACAATGTTCGCAATCATATTGCGATTACGAATGCAGCGGAACGGCGGGCGGGCGGGCGCGCGACGTCCGCGGCGATGGTAGTGGCTAACGCGTCGAAAATAAATTGCGGAATAACTGACAGGCTGCTACGAGTCGCGCGCGTATATATATCGGAATGAATTGATTAATAAAACATGTCAACAATATCGGCGGCGGCGACGGCGCCGATAAAAGATTGATTAAACGCGCGGCTCCGCGCCCTGCTAACCAGCGTTTCGAAAAAGCCGCGAATAAATCACGTGCGAATAAAGGCCAACATTGCAAACAAATTTCCGTGACTGCAACGGAAGCGAGATCAATTATACGGCACGACGACCTGATCGTGGTTGAATTCAACGAAGCGCAACACCTTGACAAAATTTAACAAAGATTCTCTCTCTCTCTCTTTCTCTTTTCCTTTGTTTTGTCGCGCTTCTATATCCATCAGGATGCAACTGTGTTCCTTGACAAGCCACCCGACGACCGAGGGAGACGACGAGATCGTCATCGATGATCGCGACGAGATTCGACCATCGTTCTGCAATTATGGTCGCACCGAGACGGAACATTGGAGGAGCGGACGGGCGAGTGAAGAGGCGGGAGAGGAACAACACGACGGAAATAAATCTCCGTGTGATTGATCGTCCGCCATGAATCGCGCGCCGGGCGATATTAATGCACTATCAGTCGTGACGGGCTCGCGGATGGCTCGCGTGTACCGCGCGTGTAGCTTTGACGATTCTGTCGCTCGTCGACGTCGCACGCTCGTCGCCTCCGCCCGATATTTATGCGCTCGTTTTTCGCAGCGGGTCGAGGGTTACACGAAACACAAAAAAAGAGAGAAAGAAAAAATCCGGTAAATCGGTGGCACTCCGCCTGCAATTTCGCGAGCGCGTCGATATATAACCGTGTATTTGTTACTATATACGCCGCGTCTCTCTCTATCTCTGTTTTATCTTCTTCATTCAGATCGTCCCGCTACACTCTTTTCTAGACGGATCCGGAATATGGGCTTCGACAGCCGGCACCGTCGTAAAATCCCATGCTCCATAAGGGCGGAAAGCCAAGGGCTTGGTCAATCGGTTAATAACGTCGCTGCAAGGTACGCATACGCGAGTGTCCTTATCTCCATTTAGTAGCGCGTTTAAGAGAGATTGGAATACAGTCGAACACGTGTCGCTGCGACATCTGGCCCCTGGCTCGACACGGACTGGAAATGTAAAAAAAGAAGTTGCCAGAGATTGCGCGTCGAGAAAAATTTTATCCCTCGTCGCGAGACGTTTGACTCGAAATTATACACTTTTAAAACGATGATACCGCGATGGGTAGTCGACTGCGAGGAGTACGATCTCTTTCTCTTCGCCTGCCTTAATTCTACCGAAATTTCCAACGCTAATAAAGTTAAATAATGAAGAGATTACGAGAGGAGAGAATTCGTTGTCTTATTCTTACCTCTATTAATCTTCATTAGATTATTGATTAGATTTCTTCATCAATATTTTACCTACAGTTGAATAATTGCATAATTGGAATTAAAAGGCAAAAAGGATTAAACGCCGGTAGACTATAAGGATAATTGAATATTAAATAATTCTTAAGAAGTCTTTCTTTTTACAAACCTCGATAAAATGACATTAAGTAGCTATTTTTAGCATTAAGAAACATCTTGTATGATGTTCACCTCTTGTATGATGACACCTCAAGATTCCTCGTTGCTTTAACGAAATTTTTGGAACTAATGTAGAACCGAAATTTGGATACAGAGATCAGAATGAACTTCTCAATAATCTAATGAAATCAGAATGAACTCGAAAAAGAAATTAACGGATTGTAACAGGCGACTCCCTCTGCGAGAGGATTTGCCTTTTAATTAACTTATAGCGACAAAATTGACCGCGTAATGCCGGTTACGTAGCGCGCCTAAGAATTCGCAGTGCTAATCGCATCGATTTTCGATCGGATGTCGAGCGAACCTACGCTCGCGATCCGATCGCGATTGCCCCGACCGCGGCTCGCATTGTTTCGCAATCAAAGCGACATTGTTTCCACTGTCACGGCAGCTCGTCGACATCGATCACTGTTTCTGCTCTTCTATGGCCGTTCGAATTTGAGGAAATATAGATATAATTATCTGACAAGGGCCGAGCTCTCTTAACGACGCGTACACGGAGAAAAATAATTTGCTGGTCCAGCAAATTTTCTGCTGGTCTAGTAAAATCTTTTCGTATATGGACAGCAAAAAGATTTGCAAAAAATTGCTAAGAGTATTAATCACTATTTGCTGAATATAATTTGCTGAATCTACAAATTATTTTGCTATAAGAACCATGATGGATTTATATAAGCAGTTGCAGTTTTGCTCCGATAGCAAGTAAATTTGCTAAGGATACATTATTTTGCATCAATAGCAAATTAACGTGATTCTTAGGACAAGTACACTCAACAAATTTGTTCTATCCCGGCAACGAAACTACTTCTGCTCTGATAACGAATAATTTGTAAAATTAGTTACGTCAACTAAATTTTTTTGATGTTACTATGCAGTGAATATGCAGTAGCAACGATGATTTTGCTAAAAGAGTAAAATTATTTTTCTCCGTGTAAGTCCGAAATTTAATTCGCCGTAAGTATCTCGTGTTCAACCATCTTACTACGTAAGCTCATTAATGAAGCAGCAATGTGACGCGTTGAGGATACATTCTATCGGTAAATATCTTCGCGCAAAAAATAGATCGAGTTCTCCGTGACGAAGGACGAAGAAAAAAAATGAGAGAAGAGAGAAAAGGGGATAGGAAATGATTTGACGGTTTTTCGACTTCCCTGCTCCTCGATCGTTCTGACTACATTGTCTCTCACCAAGAGCCTTCGAACGCCGTAATCCGACACCTTGATGGATCAAAGCCGTGGCAAGGTCGTTAAAGAAACCGCTCGTTCTCTCGCCGTTTCCGCTTTGCTCTGCCACGATTCCGAGCCACGACGGTATTTCTCGTGGCTGTGGCGTCAGCACGCCGGCTGAAAAAAACGTTCGGGAGGTAAAAGCGTCAAGTAGTCTTACCTCTCCGGAGGCGACCGCCTCGCCCGGAATGAAGAGTTCCGGATAAACGTTGTCCAGGTACCACTTGAACGACTTGCACCCCAGTTTCTTCCTAAGGGCCTTTCGTTCCGATACGTCGCCGTAGTTCCCCTGTGAAAGTTCCGTCTTGCTGTCAGTGTCGCGCTCACAATGCCCGCGAAGATAAAGGGAAAAAAACGTAAGGCTTCTTGGACGGCACGTCGTGCCGATGTATTGTAGGAGAGAAGAAAAATAAATAAAGAACGACACGCGCTGGTGTGTCGTCACGACAATCGTATCAGTCGCTCAGAAGCCAAACTGATCAACTTCATTTTCCGTAATTTTCTTAATTTCATTATCAAAATATATGATTAATGTGTACCTCTGATTTTTCAAAATTAAGAAACTTGCAGAAAGTAAAATTAATCAGCTTAGTTTTTGAAAAGCTCGATTATTGTTCGACATTCAAATGAAAGTATCGGATTTTGTTATTTTTCAGGAGATACCAAGTGCTCGTCAAGGAGATTTTTTAATGTTAAATTAATATTTACGGGAAGAGTGTTCAAGGTTGATACAAGGAATCGAGTGTCTACAATTTTCCCGATGCCAAAACAGCATGAAAGCAACGTCCGGCTAAACGTTCCTCGCGAATCCGCGTCCGACCCAGTTACGGATCTCACCACTGCGAACATTGCGTACTCACGCACACGAGAGAGGGGGGATGGCACGGTGTGTGACGGAGGGCGGCGATTTATCTTATTATTTTATGAAGCTATCCACGAGGACGACATTTTCGAAAGATTTGATCATTACACAGCGGCGTGCTTACGGAAGCGATTTATTCCCTGCGCCTCGATTTATCTCGTCGATTGGATCTCGGCGGGCGGGCGACCGGGGGCGGACAAGCATCAAGGATAAATGACAGATCGTTATAGAGAGGGTCGCGAAAGAAAACGTCCCCTCTTCCCGAGAGCGAGGACACGCGCGCGCGATCCTTAAGAGCACTTGGCACCTTTATAGCCCTTTTTTACGACGAGTCCCGGTCTACGATCCTCTCCATCATCGGCCACCTTTATCGTTACCCCTCGTCCCATTCTTAGTGGGCCGCTCCCGATGTTTACGAGTAACTCGGATCAAAGAAACATAATGGAAGCTTCGACAACGGTGCGCTATAGTTTGACTGGCAAAAACTTTATCCCGGTGGTCAAGCATCAATTATTACTAATTAGCCATAACCGCGGAAAGTATATAGTCGGTTGTAGAACGGTTTAGATACATTTTTTTCCAACGAAAGGCTCCAAACTATCGCAATTGCAAGCCACTGCTGACGGTCTGCATAGCAGTCAGTTGTGAGAGGAACCGAAATGACAATGTATGAGACATCACGATTACAACGAAGGATTTGGGAAAAGTGCAAATATATTTATAGTACTATTTATTATATTCTTATCTATCAGACAAGAATATAACAAAGGGCCAATATTTACATCAAGTACACTGACAAAAATATATCTAAAAATTTATTCGTGAGATATAAAGTTTACTTCTGTGAAATAAGATTTGTTTTTGTGAACCGTTGTATCCTACAAAATAAATTTTGAAGTATATTTTCCTCTGTATATTGCCCCCTTCGCTTGCTGTCATAACTGATTACCACGCAAACTAGTGGACAGTGGCATGAGATTGTATCAACTCGGAGCGCTTCTAACTTCATTAAAACAAACGTGTATAAACCGTTCTGCGATCGACTACACCACCGAGACGCGTCTTTTATTTTTCTTCTTTATTTGTCGTTCTTCTGCGAGGCGACTGTCTGTACTAATATTATTTGTACCTGTATGTTGCTTCAATAAAAAACATCAATAATATCCTATTTTACACGAAAAAGAGTTGTTTGTCAAATAGTTGCAATATATGGACACCTAAAAAATATTGCTGCATTAGCAAACTTTTTCGCTGCAACTTTTCTTGCTGCGAGATAGACATAATACGAAGTTGCTAGAACATGTTGCTATGGTACGAAAAGAATTTGTTCCTGCAGCAAAAAAATAACGCAGCAATATTTTGTAGGTGTCCATATAGTACGATTTTCTTTTTTTCCCTGTATAGTATTCTATTCTCTTGTTTTTTTTGGATTGTGAGAGATCACATAACTCTTATTTTCACACTGATATTTTCGCTCTCATGCGAGTATGAGTGCGCAATTGTCGCAAAAAGTATATTATTTTTTATTATTTGCTGTCGCGACAATTGTATTATTTGCAAAGTCTCTAAAATTTATCTCTCGCGTTTCACCGTATTGATTTTTCGACGCGATACCGTACAGTTTTAATTGTCCCCCTCGCTCTTGCTCTCCCTCGTACTCTTTCGCGGCGTGTGTACACGAGGGTTGCTCGCGTACACATGTTGGGAACGAGTAAGGAAGGAAGGTTATGCATGCGACGATGCACAAGTGCTCACCTTGTCGTGACCTATCCTCTGATAGTAGTACTTGGCGTACTCGTCCAGCCACACTTCGCTCAGCCTTATGCTGTTCCTCTTGAGCACGTTCACGCCGCTGCGCCACTTGTAAGGCGAACGTTTCCTGAAGATGTGGCCCACGTGCGAGCATGGCACGATTTCCAGGGTGCCTGGCGAGGGCGCGTCGAGTTATTAGATTAACATTTTCAGCTGCGCTGCTGCTGCTACTGCTGCTGCTGCTGCTGCCGCCGCTGCGTTATGTTACGTCGTGCGCCAATATCGCGAAAATCGCGGCGCGAGCGCAAAGTACGAGCGCTGTGCCGAGAAAGAAAATATCGACCGTTCGCCGAATGAAACGAAAATCTGCGCGAACGTGCGTTTATTGCAGAACAAATAATCGTGAAAATGTAACACGCGGTAAAATAATCCCTTTCCTCCCGCGGAAGAGCGGATAAAAAAATTGGCGGAAATTTTTGTAGCCGGCGTTCTGTTCGCATTTGTTCATTTGTTCGTCGGATTACGGTTATCCGAGATATTCTAGCCTCTCAAATCACCACTGGAAGCGCGATTTGAAAAGCCAGCTTCTGTTCTTTCTTTCGTTTCCGGGATAACACTAATTGCGCATACCTCCGCACATCCAGGTCTTGAATGACAACTCGAGATTCTCGCCGCCCCAAATGTCGAAGCCGCTGTCGTACGTGCCGATCCGCTCGAAGAACGTTCGGTCTATAGCGAAGAGGCCGCCGGCCATCGTTGGCGACCAAACAGGTTCGGCCGGGTTTTTGTGTCGTTTCTTCTCCCTCTCCGGTACCGCGTGCCAATTGAACTTGTTGACAAAGGTTAACACACGTTCAAGAATCCATTCGCAGTCGAGCGACCCCCCACAGAAGCCACTTAAGCCTCCTTTATGAGGAATATTAGAAAATCGCAAAGTGGATCTCAAAACAGGACGACATGGATCGATTTATTCCGTATCTGGGCGCGTTCTGAGTTGGATGTACACTGAACGAAGGAATAACGAATGAACAACAAAAATGCGATTCATTTGCGTCCACCTTGCTCAGAAATTTTCTTTGCGGTTCCAAATCGCGTCGCAGGGGTATCGACCCGAATAAGACGTTCTGTTCGGATTTCTTGAGTCATACACAGTCTTTTCATCGTAAAACGGACGTTTGCATTCGTTCAGTTCGCTCAGTGTACGCCCAGCTTTACGGCGACCTTTCATTCGCGCGGAAAAATTAATCCGACGTTGTCGCGCGCTGTCACACGTAAACTGGATTGCATTCCGTGTGGACGGACGCATTCTCTCTACCACCGACTCCTCGATCAGGCGCGCGTGAAGATTTCGTTTACCTGAAGATTCCAATCGAATCCGCCGACGTTCACGCCACCCGAGTCCCGCCAGTGGTATTCCAGGGTTGTGTCGTCTATAACATCGATCACCGGACAAACTACCGTCGTCGAATCGCGGGCGATCCGGTCAAGAAGAGGCTCCAGCCAGCCCTCCGTGCACTCGCAATGGCTGTCCAAATACGTAAGCACCGGAGCCTTAGCCGCCGCTGCGCCCAACAGGCGCGCCCTGATAAGGCCCTCCCGCTTATTCGCCCTGATAATCCTCACCTTCGGATAATTTATCATGTAGTCTTCCAACTGACGCTTCAGATGAGCTGCGAAACGATAGATTTCTCGTTATTGGCCGCACCACGCGAACATCCAGCTGTATTATCGTAAAGTACTCTACGGCAACCACGATATTATTAAACCAAAATTATAGAAAGCTCCTTTTGTATAACAAACAGAAATATTTGAAGGGCCTATAAGGAGCTAAGCACGGATGTCTTAGTGCCATTAGATATTAATACTGTTTTATTAATATTAATATGATAGTGGCAGAATAATATGTCCAGCATGTCAAACGCACGTATCAAAATTTTATCGATCATCGTACGCGGCGAATCAACCTTCCACACTTAGACCGATCCTTGAGTCACAAACTTATATATATATATTTATATTCCCAAAACCCCCATTAAACCGATGACTCAAATTTCGATACGTGCGTTTGACATGCTGGACATATTATTCTGCCACTATCATATTAATATTAATAAAATAGTATTAATATCTAATGGCACTAAGACATTCGTGCTTAGCTCCTTATAGGCCATTCAAATATTTCTGTTCACGATACTATTGATATTATTAATGCACGAGAGAATTTTATGGCAAAAAGTATTTTAAGTAGAATTTTATAACCGAGGAGCACAGATCGATATTCTGCATATAAATTTATAATTGACTTTCGTTTCATATGTGTTATTCATATCTTAGGAACCGAAATGTGCCGTCAAAAAAGTTGCTGCATTTCTAGCGAAATTTGCTGTGTTCCTTAACAACCAATGGGGGAAAAGCAATTTTGACGAAGGAAAAAGTTTTGTCGTGTTAACATGAAGTTAGATTGCAACGAACGGATCAACGTATTTTGGTTGGAGCAAACAGAATTTTTTATTCTTAGAACCATAAATTTATGTCATAAGAACTACGGAAATTTGACTGAAACGCGTCCTTCAACAGAAACGCGTTCGTTCATTAAAACTGAACTTCACGTTGATGCAACTACATTTTTTCTATGTAGCAAGATAGACTTTACTCACAGTCTATTTTTGTGTGAACTGGAAACACAGTAAAATTTAAAAGAATTTATACGGCAAAAAAACTAATATATTCTCTCTGTGTGCGTTTAATACTAATATAAGTTCGTTTAAAATATAAATGTAATCCACGCGCGATTTAAATGCCTTCATCTTATATTTTCTTGCGCCTCTCAAATTTCATATTCATCTTTTCTCGCCAGATCTCTTTTTCCCTTTACGATCGATCGTGTTGAATTTCACGTTTTCACGCGAAATATTTTTTACGGTTTCCCATTTCGACGAAAAAACGTCCAACATAAAAACGTGTATACATAGTTGTTAAAAAAAAAAAAAATTGAAATAAAAATATCGGTTTCCGATAGCGGACTGTCGCGTAATTCGTAGCGTAACATGCTAATTTCGCGCGATGCGCGTTGCCGCATTATTAACGAGACCTTAGTATCTAGATTTATCCAGATATCGATTTCATCGGAAACGTGCGGTTTTCAGTCTCCGTACCTTCCTCGCTCAATTTCCGTCGATTCGGAAAATATAAGTTGCCCCGCTGGATCTACATCGCGCGACGTAGGAGAGTATTGCAACAATAAACGGGCGGGCGCTCGGTTTCTCTCGGTTTCTCTAACGTCGATTACGTCCTTAACGTCGGATTACGGTTTATTTACGATGTCATTCGCAAGCTGTTGCGGCGAACAACAATCACCCGTCCCAGATTCATTCCGTAACCGTAATCAATTTAATTGTACGCCACGTAGAAGCAACCATAATGCCCGCGTAACGGTATTAACCTTGTATTTATCCGGGTTATTAACATTTTATCGTGACGACCTAAGCGAGGCGAAAAGAAAAATGAACAAGAGAGCAGGGCCGACGGTCACTTGTGCCTGTACTTCCAATAAAGATTATGTACGGCAAAGCGCCGGAGACGGCGGCGGCTCCCTTTTAATCCGTCGTTAAAGTTTCTCGAGTAACGATCGAATGCAAAAAGAACGAAACTCGCGTGCGAAAAACACGCCCTCCTCTTCCTCCCTCATTCCGTTTTTTTTTCTTTCTTTATTCGAGAAAGTTTACTTATCAAGAAATATATAGCGGTGGGTGGGAGCTCACTTCTAGCATCCTGTAAAACGAGCGTTACTGTCGCCGCTACCTGCCAATTAAAAAGTAACTCGGCGCGAAAGAGTGAGAGAGAACGTGCCATATCGCTTTTTGATCTTCTTTTTAGGAGTGCGCGTAAATCTTACGGTGAAGGAACGATTTCTCGTATTTGCACCGCTTTTGCGACAGAGAGAAAGCGAAGGAGAGAGGGAGAGAGAGAGAAAGAGAGAGAGAGAGAGAGAGTAAAGCCTCTCTGTAATATCGTTTCGGGCGCGTGTTACGCGTCTGCATCGTCTGTGGTAACGCAACGTGCTATTTCTGGCAATCGTACGCGAGATTTAGATTTATGGCCGCGTATCCAGCCATGGCTCGCCGCCGGACGGCCAGCAATTAGCAGACATTCGTGATTTATTCTCCGTTAGGGATGGCTTTATGAGGGACCGGGCTCACTAATCCTAAGCCTCCACCCTGTTGTAAGCTCGGTTAACTACGGACAGTATAAAGGGATTCTCTTGGCGGATCAGCGTGTTTCGTGCTGGCGCAATGATTACCGAGGCGGGATGAGACGATGCCGCTACTTGGAAACGATAGAGACGTCGGTTCGATTATATGCATTCACCCCTTTCGTATTGGACGCGCGCGCCTTCCGAGTCTGATCAGCTTCGACACGGAGTTATCGTATGACGCGACGTACCCCGTCGTCTCTCTGCCACGTTCCTTCTTCTCCACGGAATCTCGCATCGATTCGCGACAAGAATTTTTCTCCTCCGCGCTGGCAAAGGTGGAGAGAAGGTGGAGGAGAATGAGAGAAGGTAAGAAAAATACGTAGAGTCGTTGTGCGAGTTGCGCGCGCGTTCTCGAGTACAGTCGCGAACTGAGAAAATATCCTCTCCGGCTCCTCTCTCTTTCTCATCATCCCCGAAGCGCGCCGGAGATGAAAGGTACGAGGTGTCGCGCCGTGTCGTTACTCGAACGAGAAGAGATCTGACCGTAAGAGGTCAGAGGTCAGACATTTAATGCGCACGCAAGCGACGTACGTGCTTGGATTCCGGGCGCATACCGACCTGAATTAATTTCTAATGAATTCCTCGAACACACACACACGCACGCGTGTGCGCGCGCACATACAGATATGCACACAAACGAATACATAGTGTGTGCGCGTACACGCCCACACACATATACACACACTTATACACATATATGAATACACATAAACCGACTGTGGCCATTATTGCAAATTTGATTACGACTTTGCCGAGTGCGCTATGAGGCGCAGATAATGGAAACGCTCAAAGAGCTAGCTCGTCTGTCGCCGTCGAGAGAGCGCTCACAATTAACTCCGTAATCCCCGTCTCCAATCCCCCGAATAAAAGCTAATTATCGTGCGTGCGTTTTGCCGAGGGAGCGAAAGGCTCTAAAGCCCGCTCTGTAAAATTCATTACAACTTTCTTGTGGGCTTTATTAATTATTGAATTCGTCTTAATCCGTTCCGCGCGATTCGATGACGGCGGTGATGGCGGCGGAGTATAGTTCTTCGAAGACTTAAGAAGATTGAAAAGAGAACGTGCTAGCCTGCGTTCTTCTTACCGTCCTTGTCTTAAATTAGAGGAGAATATTCGATAATAGAGTGTTGATAACGAGAGAAAGGATGATTATTCATATTAAATCTCCGTTTTGTAATGTTCGCGCCTTCGAGCTATTTCAGCGACGCAACAAAAAGGAGGAAGACGCGTTAGCTTGCACCTATACTAACACACAACACACATAAATATACGCACACATACACATGCCCACACGTCTAGCCATACACGAAGTATGTATAGCGTTTCTGCGATAATGCGATCAGCAGCTCGTTAAAAGGGACACGTCAAGCTGCCCAGGAGATCGCTAAAGCGGGCGACTATACTTATGGGGTTTGACTTCCGACCAGGAAGAAGGTTTATCTCCAGCTTTTAATAGGGATCGTGCAAGCAGCCATCCTGGCTATACCGTTTCTGTCACGTCGCGACTTCCCCGGGTTAATCTCATACTCTTCTTCTGTCTCATGGGATTTTTACGATTCTCCCCCTTTATTATACGCGAATTTCGCGCAGATTGCTCTTTCCGACAATAACGGGCTTGCGCAATAATTAGAACGAACGACGATACGATGTTCGGCGACTTTTCGACATGAGCTTTCATTCCGTTTTCCTAAAATGACGCGTTATGGTGCTTGTCGACACTGTTTTTATTTCCCGCGCTTAACAGCTGAACCAGCTCGACTCCACGACTATACATATATCTCTCTTTTTTCGGTTGTCCTAGTTTTTTCGCTAAATCGGTAATTTAGATCTCGATTTGTTGTATTCACGTCAATTTATACGAAAACATGCGTCTATGTTTCGCAACGCTAATTGCCTTTCCGCATTCGAACAATGCGCGAGCGGGCAACACGCGTGTACTTGTTTCGACCGGAATTACGCGTTTTTACATACTTCTATAAAACGGCCTTAAGCGAAAAAAATGTTTTATTTCGATAGATTGACGCATGAGGTGAAATAAATGACGGTGGTCGCGATGACATGTACATTTTTGGTCGCCGTGCGCGGGTGAACGAGCAGCAATTCGCAACAAATCGACCGTGGGTTAATAGAGGGGCCGCGAAACGTTTATGAAACGCGTGCGTGACGCACGGGCATTTTTATTTTCCGCGACATTCTCGCATTTTCAAATATAATATGGCCGTCGTCGTTGTTCGCGCGGGCGCGCGCGCCTGCTCTCGATTTTGCGCGGACAAGGACAAATGGAGACGTTAAACCCGGTCCGTCGCGGAGATTGTATGGACCTCTCGTAATTTTCTGGGCGTTCGTAGCGCGCGCACATCGGGGAGTTTCTCTTCTATTCACGTCGCGCGCGCCGTACAGTGGAGAGATGGATCGCAATTAATCGATCTATCGCGAAACTACGGGAACACTGTCGCGATAACGAATCACCGCGTTGAATGGGGAGAAAGAGAGAGAGAGAGAGAGAGAGAGAGAGAGAGAGAGAGAGAGAGAGAGAGAGAGAGAGA